TCACCCCGCTGGCCTATGCCCCCATTCTTATTCTTCGCTTCACTTTGGTCTTTTGGGCTCTGCTCCTGACACCACTGAGCCATTCCATTCCTGTCTTTCCAGGTCTTCTGCACAGCTGACTTCCACCCGTCTTTCAAGTGACAGCTCTGTTCTTATCTCCTCCCAGGACACCTTCTCTGACTCTGCCCACAAATTGGCTCCCTACTCTTGTTTTGCTTCACAGTACCCCAAACCTGTCTTTGTTACACAATGTATTGCACATCATGGTCATTTTCTATGTGTGTGTCTGCCTCCCTCACCAGCTGGTGAACACCTTGAGGGCAGAGTCTCTATCTTTCATCTTCCCGCTTATAGAGCCTAAGGCAATAACAACACCTGCTTACTAGTGTTTATAGTCATGAATGTGTGAGTGGTGACAGAATAAAACACAAGATACGCTTCAGGAATTGGGAAAAGAGGGATTTATAGGTAAGTATCAATATACAGAAATGGTTTGGAGAGGAGGTTACATATGAGCTGGAACTTGCATAGAGGAGAATTTTCAGGCAGATATTAAGAGGAGGAGGGTCAAGAACGGTCAGACCACAGATAATAAGATGAAAGAAGTTTGAGGTCAAACCATTCAGGCTTGGATCACAAGGCTGAGGAGAGAGAGCAGAAGGAAGCTGGAGGATTTTTAAACAGAGAAGTCCTTTTGGGTAACAGAGCCACGAGTACTGCTAAGGACAGACTGGAGACAAGAATTTACTAGTAGTACTGACAATTCAGATAGCATCTACTAGATACCAGGTGCCATACTAGCTGCTCTACATGTATTAATTAAAGTCATCAATGCTATAATCCTTCAGATTACTCCATGAGATAGACTTTGTCATCATTTCACGGGTGATAAAACAATGGCTCAGAGTGTTTTAAAGGGACACTCCCACATTAGAAGTGGCAGAGCCTGGCTTCAAACCCAGGCCAGGCTCCCCAGTGCTCCCTGCCCCTGCCTTGTTGTCAGGGTGAGTCACTGCTGAGCAAGGGTTGGGGGCGGGGACACACGACAATAACGACACACATACCGGACAATTCATGATGCTTGTTGACTGATTTGAAGAGATGATTTTCCTTTGAGAATTCACCTCAGTCAATATAGACTTTGGACAAATGCAAGCTGACGTTTTACTCAAAGCAAATATCATGAAAAGGCAGAAAGCACTCTGGGACTAGAACAACCATCCACAAAATAAATGTGGTAGAAGCAAGTAACTCCCTAATCAAGGCAACTTCTCATGTACTATCTTGAGTTCTGTATCCATGTGGTTCCAATACAGCATCTTAGCTCACAACAAATCACGAGGAGGCGTATCCTTCTTTTGCAACCCCCCAACTCTAATTTCTACCATTCCAAGGACCCTGTGGAGCACATATTTAACCACACATCCTCACACCCCAAAATGGGCCAGCTTCTCCAAATCCTACCTTCCTTTACCATCATAGGAAATCATCCAGTCTTTCATCCAGGCTCCACCTTGCCCACTAGGCTCAGATTTCAGCCATCACCTCCCCAGGGAGTGCTTGCTGGGTAAAGTAATTACATTTCATTATAAGCATGGCTCCTGTGGGATTCAGAGTGAAAAAATCCCCTTGAGCATCAGGGATCAGGCCTATCAGAAACTACCCTGGCATATGCAGAATCCTGGCTGGCATTGTGCCCAGCCTGTCCACAGCTCCCGCAGGCAGGATACAGGGGGCTGGGGACTATTAGCTTCAAGATCTTCTTGCTGATGGGACCATAGAGATCCTCGAACTGACTCCATCCCCTGAGAGGTCTGACTGCCTTCATCCAAACAATGCCCTAGGCTGTTCACGCAGGCAGCTACAATGAAGCCCACCCTCAAGCAGATTAATCACAAGATTATGCTCTCATCCATGTCAAAGTATGTGCCTAAACACACACTTCTTGACACCATGAAATGTTAGCATTAAGAGCTAGAAGGAAGCTGCGAGATTCCTCTTAGTTCTGCTGGACCCGTGGTCTCCAACAGTCAATAATTTCCATACCTTCCAGTAAAAACATTTTTGAGCATGCCACCCAGATATATGCATATTTATTTATAAATCATGTGCATGTAGAATTCTATTCATACAAAATATGCATTATAAATATAAAAAGAGGTCTTTTCAAAGATGAAGCAAGGAATATAACAATCTCCTTTTTAAAAATAATTATTTTTGTGTATTAATAGAACACTTAACCTTTCTGTTCTTACTAAAAATATATACATTACAGTGAGTCAGTGTTCTGGTTTTAATTTAGCCTAATTCAATATTAGACTTCAGTGGGGCGTGTGACTGAAAAAATGCCTCCCCCAAACCATACGGATCTAGCAAGAAGATAAGAGTGTCAAAGCCTTGAGGAATAAGCCATGATTTCCACACTCATCCTTCAGCCTCCTTCACCAAGGGCACAGGGGTCTCTTCGAATTTTGGGTGCATCATTTAAAATGCCTTGCTAATTATGATGATTTCATGCAAGCATCAGTCAATATCTGGAGCCCAAAACACAGTAAGGAGGAGGTATATTATGAATAATTGTGGTTACAAATCCATCTATCAAATAGTTTTAAAATGAATTCTCATTTCTCAGTCCACCGATTGTTGGATCTGATGACCTTGTCACTCCATCTCAGCGTGAGTATCAACAGGCCTGAGAAGGAGAGTGTACATCTGGTTCTGTCATTTCCTGGTGCTTGCTATACCTTCATTATTAATATCATTTTCAGTTCATGATTTCCTTATGATGTTTATTTTTAAGCCACTTGCTGTTTTATGAGGGCTACTCTAGTTAAAACTAGAAAATAATTTATAGATGTATATAACCAGGCAGTCACAAACTATGATATTTTGCAATGCGAGGGTGACGTCGTCCATTTATTCGCGCTGTGGGACACCCTCTTTTCTTTTGACACCTGAGTTGCTAAAGGGAACTCATGACTGTACCATATGGATACAGCAAGGTTTACAGGGTCAGTCTGGATTCTAATTATTCATGAAGCTTGATTTCTTTCTTATTTTTGGTTAAAACAAATATAAACAGAAGTTCTGATATTTTCTTCCCACATCCTGATAGATATTTTGTGCACTCCTGGGGAGAATGCAGCACACTTCAGAGACCAGCCTAACATAACAGAAAACAATGCAAGATTTTGAGCAAGAAAGCCTTAGCCCCAGGTCCCCACTCCGCCACGTTAAAGCTGTGTACTGCTTTACTACGCTGATCCCAAGCTACCTGCCTGGCAAAATAAAGATAACACCGCTTACCTCTATAGTGGGTGACAAGGATCCAGAGATAATAAATAAACTATGACACACACATGAAACTATCAAAAATGCTTCCTTCTCTCGTAAATGTGGAACCTGCAAAGCAGAGTGGAGTAACATGCCAAAGAAACTCCAAGAAGCAGTAGCCACGCCAGGTCTCAGAAGGCCTGACCCCAAGCCCAAGATGTTTCTCACTATAGCACACAACTTCTGGTCAAGTGAGGTGGGGTGGACCAAGAGAGATGAAGCTTCCAAAGGATGCACAGAGCTGTACTTCATCAAAATCCAGCTCCAGAACCCCTAATGTGCCCTTTCCCGGAAACACAGAGCTGGTCCCAGAATCATTTCCCATTTCCCTCACTACCTAATTCGGGTCACCTAACAAATGACTCAGCCCCACTGAACTTCACCTTACCTGAGAAGGGGCCACAAATACATTTGAAGCATTAATTCCAGAACAATCTTTGTGAAATTAGAGACTAACCTTGAGTGACAGATTGCAAATATGTGCACAGATTATTCCTCTTCCATCAAGAGATGGTATCAATTTCTCCACCCTGATTCTAGACTATCTTTGCAACTTGCTTTGGCCAGTAAAAGGCGGTGAAAACAACTTTATGCAAATTCTGAGGCTTGGCAACAAGAAGTTTTGCGTGTTTCCACTCTCGCTCTTGGGGCCTAGCGACCATGTAAACAAGCCCAGGCGAGCCCACTGGAGGATGAGAGGCCACGGAGAAGAGAATCACAGCCTCCCCGCCCAGGGCTCCAGACCTCCAGCAAGCCCGGGTGAGCTCAGCCAAGCGTGGTCCAGTTCAGTAGACCTGCCCGCTGAGCCCAGCTCAAATTGCCTACCCTCAGAATCACAAGCTAAATTGATAGTTGTTGTTTTAGGCCACTAAGTTTTAGGATAGTTTGTTGTGCAATCAGTGAAGGCAAACTAATGGATAACCATTGCTTTGCACACTCATTCATTAACTCGGGCAATATCAGAAATGCAATTTCTATGAACTTCAGTTTCCTCATCTATAATATGGAGAAAGTAGTAGCAGCCATTCTGAGTAATTCTAGTCTGTGGTTAGAATACGTTATATAACCATTTCATATCTTTATTATTTACAGTGACCCTGAGAGGTAAGTCTGTCATGAGAACTTATTGAGACCATGCACGTAAAACGCCAAATTCAGAGACATCCTTAAAAACTGGAAGTAAATATACTTTAATTACATATTTAAAGAAGACAATGTAATTCTCAGGTTTTGAGAGATCTGGGCACAGGTTTTACAATATGTGTTTGGGGAAATGGCCCTTACGGATATCGGTCATACAGACACCTTTTTATCAGAGTTATCCAGACAACTTTCACTTCCACTAAATTCACTTTCCTTTAAAACTGACTGATAGATTTAATGGAAAGAGCAACTAAGAAGAGAGATGGTAGAAAAAATACAGGAGGAGGAGAGAAATGAGCATTTTCTAGTTTTTGTTAATATTTGGTTTATTTTCAAATGCACTAAAGGTTTGGATTTTCCACTTGGCAGGGAAAGTAAGGACAATCCTTTCATCATTAATCCAAAATTTCCTATAACCTGTCCTCACCACCTTCACTCCTTGCCAAGGAAAAAACAAAACAAAACAAAACAAACAAACATATATAGATATATAAAAAGAAATACAAATCGCGAAGCATACTCACCCTCTCTGAAAGAGATCCACATTATAAAATTTATGTAGCTCTACAGAAAACTCAACAGTTCCTTGTACTTCAGACATGATCTTTTTGGTTCATTACCTGAAAAACAAGAGAGAAATGAACAGCTTGAAATCACATCAGCCAGACACAGAGAGCCTGGTTTTCTACAACAGGAAGCCAAACAGTGCTAACTTAGAGGGACAAGGGTATCTGAGCAAAAGGACGATGATGTGTCCACCGATATCCCTCAGGGGCTCCTTTTATAGGAAAAGACACAGAGAGGTGAAGTGACTTGCTTAATGTCACACAGCTCATACTGAAAAGACTGGGACTTGGACCCAGATATCCTAAATCTAAAGCTCAGTTCGTCTACTGCTCTTCCTAACCTGCCAGTACCATGGAGGCCATAGCATCCCAGCTGTGAGCACATGCTTCACAGCCAAGGGAGCAAGAATCCCTGCTCTTCCACTTTTGCCTGTGGACCTTGAGCAGGTCCCTTAACTTCTCCCATCCTCAGTTTCCTCATCTGTAACATGAGGACTGATAATAGCATATAACTCTGATAGATGATGGGAAGATTAAATACATCTGCCACATAGAGCACTTTGCACAGTTCCTCATGTGTAGTGAATACTCAATAAGTAGTAGATTCTATTAATAATAATAAGTGAAAATGGTTCTATCATTTTTCAGTATAAACACAGTCTCTAAAGAGCTAAGGTGCCTGGACTGGCAAGGACAAGTGTGTTTTCTATTGAGCATGGGAAGCAGAGGGAGTGGGTGCTGTTGCCAAGCAGACACTGAACCCAAATTGATAGGTTGCTAATTCTCCAACCCGGGAGCACCTAGGGCCAATAATAAGAGGGCCGGGTGGGAAAGATGGGAGGGAACAAAACTAAAATCGTCCAAACAGGGTGAGAAACAAACCAAGAGAGACACTCAAGACAGGCTGGATCATCCAAGGATATAGAATCATCTAGATACCAGGAATTTGGAGGAAGGGAAAGAAACTGACTTTTATTGAGCACCTACCGAATTCTAGGTGCTGCATAATGTATTTTATGTAAGTTGTTTGATTTTGTCCAAGAAGAATTTTGAGATAAAAGTTTTTGCCCCAAATTGCAGATTAGGAAAAGAATCAGAAAGGCTCTAACCTGGAGCCACTTTCTGACTCTAGAACATTCTAGTGGTGTGGACGTTGGTAACTCTCCTCACTTTTTCCAAGCTTCAGTTTACCACCATGTGTAATGGGGATGAGACAAGCTACCTAGGGGGATTCTCGACAAGATAGAAGCTAATTACTTGCAATTGAGTGATTCTGGGGGAACTAGAAGGTTCTCAATAGGTGGTAACTGGCATAATCTTAGGGTGGGAGGGAGAATGAGAGAGAAGGAAGAGGGAAAATAAGGGGAGATTCAGTGTCTCCTAGCTAACAAGTGGTGATTGGCACTTAGGGCTCCTTTCAAAACCCCTCTTGTTTCTGCCCCTATGACGCCTTGGGGACCAGACCACCATCTCTGTGGTTCAGAGCCCAACCTCATTGCAGCTGATGGGGTCATGCTGGGCCAGCTCCCACGAATAAGAGCACAAGGGATTAACTGTGTCTCAGCTCATGGCAAGGCTGCCATCCAGGAAAACCTTTCTGAAAATCCAGACTTCTGCATAGCAAATTAAAATGCAGCAGATCCTAAGACCCAACCTCTATACATTCTGCAAGACAGAACTTCAAGCTGAGAAGCCTGCAAAGTCCTGACTCACAAAATGTGCTGAAAACCCATTTCCCTAATGGGAAAGCCATTGAGGCGTGCCCTGGCCCTGCCCAACACATCGGAGCCAGTCAAGGTTGGAACATGCCACTCGATTTCAATTTCAAGGCATTTCCTATAAAAATCAGACAGAGGGACCAGCAAATAAAGTCACTCTGTGCTTCATTTCGATATCGCATTAAACAGAACAGCTGCATCTTCCCCACTTTCTCTTCGCCCTACTCAGTCTCAATCCTCAAAACACTGCAGAGCTGGCAAAGCCATCTGACTCCTTTCTTCTGGTTATCAGTTTCAGTAATCCCTGGATCCTCTCCAATCTCTAATCCCGGGTGGAGTTGATAGAAAGAGGGACCGAGGGAGACCAAGAACACCACATATTAACATTTGAGTGCACTACATGCCAAACACTGCTAGGGGGTTTCCACGCATCATACCATGCACTCCTCAAAATCTCTCTTAGGTGGGTAGTATTGACCTCGATTCACACACAGGTCCATGGATGCCATACAGAGTAAGAACACTGACCCAGGAGGCCAAACACTGGTTTTCCAGCTTCGGCCATTACTGGAAGAATGCTGGAAGAATGTTTTTCTGAAGAATTAATATTTAGAATATTTAGAAGAAAAAATATTTAAGGTATGGAGAATACCATACAGAATACTGTTTCCTCCTGGGAAGATGCACCCTGCTAACCTATTGTTTAGGACTCATAGGATAGAGTCCTGGAACTTGTTGATGCAAACACAGCTTCTTTACCTTTTTATCATGTGATTCATTATAACCAGACACCCAGTTATTCAATGAGGGAGAAGAGCTCACATTTAAAATATCAGTCTTAAAACTCCTTATTGATTTTGCTGGTAAATGTACTTGGTCCAATTTGTAGGAATTGCAGGAATTTGCAGAAATCCAAAACCATTCGCTTTGACCCCAGCCCTCTTCCTGGCTCCTTCTGTCTGATGATTAGAAAAGAGTATATTTAGAGTGGTGGTTTACAAGTGTGGCTCCCAGGCCAGCAGCACCAGCACCACTTTGTTATGAAAGCAAACTCTTGGGTCCTACTCCAGACCGACTCCGTCAGAAACTGCAGGGGTGAGGCTCAGTGATCCGTGTTTTCACAAGTCCTCCAGGGAATTTGACGCACACACTCCTTTGAGAACCACTGGTGTGGAGACTAGAATTTTGGACTTAACCAGGCCTGAGCTTACTCAGTTCACTGTGAGCTGCATGACCTTGGGCCCACCGCTTTGCTTGATCTCTCTGTTCCTCACTGTCCTTGTCATTCAGTTGGGAACAATAAAAGTACCTTCCCCATAAGATTGTTGCAGCATCAATAGAGGTAAAGTATATGAAGTGCTGCATATGATGTTAGAGCACACACACAATACACACGTTACACACACTTAACACATACATGTCACACTCAGACACCGATTATACACACATAACACATACACAGACAACTCTGCACTAACTTCTGACTACAACCAGTGCCACCCATAATTTTAGTGATTTCAATCATTTTACTACATTAGGTGTAATCCTGAGATGCTCAGCATTAATCACGCCTTTCCTGAAGGCCTGCTGTGTGTGCAGGTGCTGTGCCTACGGAGCTCAAAAGCTCGCCTTTCCCTCAGGATGCTCACAGACTGGGAAAGGGCGATTGAGCGTCAAGCACAATGCGAGTGATGAGGAGAGGGAGGCCTTGGGTACTCGAGGCTCGGGGCAGGCCTCCCTGGGAAGGCTGAGTTCTGAGGGACGAGGCCTTGCCTGGGTCCAGGGTCATCCACGCGAACTGCCCTCTGTTCAGAAGGAGGGCACAAGCCCCCCATCAAGTCTTCACAGCCTCAGTTGGCCTGGTGTGAGCACGCCCACCCTGGCATTTCCCTCCACGCTGGGCAGGGCTCCTGGGCCCCCAGCTCCCTGCCTGCTCCTCAGGCAGCAGCACTGCCGCCTGCACCTGTGTGGGGGCAGCCTGTACCTGGGCAGCCTTGTTTCAGGCAAACACATCTAGAGAGAGAGATGAGGGCAGAGTGAAGGGCCCTGAAACATATGCCAGGGAAGACGTAACACGAGCTTCAGAGCGGCTTTCCTCGTGGATGGGAGAGAGAACCACCTCGGTCTCTGGAGCACCACCCTCACAGGCTCGAGAACCAGACGGCCGGCTCCCACTCACACTGGGTGACCTAAGACTTGTCAGTGACCTCCCTGGGCCTCATCTTCCTCCTCTGTAAGATGGGAATGATGGTAATAATAATGCCTTCTTCATGGAGAATGAAAAATGTTAGTACACGTAAGAAAGTTACAACGGAGTCTGGCATATAATGAACCCCAGATGAATGCTCGTTAATTTTAGTTTTATGACAGAAGGCAGAACCATGAGAAGGAGCGGAATAGCATGCAGTGGTATTACAGCCCCGTTTGGTCTTCATGTGTTCAGAAAAACCTTTATTGAACACCCCCCATAGTCCTGTCCTGTTTTGGGAGCTTTCTAATCACCACGGCTGCCCAGCTAGAGATGGATTCTCTTCGTGCGGCAATGAGCTTGCCAACACTGGGGTTTCCAGACAAAGGATAGAGTCCACTTTTCTGGGATCCCAGGCCCCTGCCTCGTGTTTAAATGACAATTAAGTTCCCTTTCAGCCACAGGGTTCTAAGACCCCAGAATCCCCAGGCTGGGCCTGCTTATCTTTGAGTGACAAGGAATGAATTCTAGGTCAGAGAGCAGAGGAGAACTAAGTTGTGATGTCATAGAACTCCGGCTCAGATCTGGTTTCCACCACTTACTAAGTTACCTGGTAAGTTATTCCGCCTCTCTGAGCCTAGATTTCTACATCTGCACTTTGAGGGAAAACCTACCTAAGAGAATAATATGAAACGGCAACTAATGAAAATGATTTTTATAAAGTATTAAAATATTTTCATTGTCAATAGGGTCTTATTAAAGTAATGAGGAGAAATTATTTTGGAAACATAAGAATGATACTTATTCTTACTTGAGGGGGAGACGACTAGGAGATGTTTAAGTTCCTAGAAAACAGGAGTTGTGTCTTCTTATGGCTTTCTGAGTAGTCCGTGGCTGACACCGTGGTTCACAGATACGTGCGGAATTAATGAATAAAAGGTAGGATCAGAGAACAGAGCTGCAGCCAGAGTGTGAACAGGGGAGGGAGGCAGAATTCAGCAAGGAAAACCAAAGCAACACAAAACACAGCCTGACCCATTAGGAGTTTGAACAATGGAGTGGGTTATGCGGGAGGGAGCATGGTCCTTGTCATCAGCATACCCACAAAGAAGCCAGCCAGGTGAGCCCTTTCGGGACTCGTCTAGCAC